ACACATACACACTCACACACACACATACACACACACACACACACACACACACACACACACAAGAGGTTCTTAATCTCAATGGGACTTAAATGAAGGTGAAATAAAAAAATAAAGGAGTATATAATGTGCGGTTTAAGGATTTAGGAAAACTGCTGCTTCTTCTGTGAAAAAACTGTATGTGTATAAACATGTGTGTATGTGTATAAACATGTGTGTATGTGTGTATGTGTATAAACATGTGTGTATGTTTATAAACATGTGTGTATGTGTGTATGTGTATAAACATGTGTGTATGTGTGTATGTGTATAAACATGTGTGAATGTGTATAAACATGTGTGTAAACATGTGTGTATGTGTATAAACATGTGTGTATGTGTATAAACATGTGTGTATGTGTGTATGTGTATAAACATGTGTGTATGCGTGTATGTGTATAAACATGTGTGAATGTGTATAAACATGTGTGTATGTGTATAAACATGTGTGTATGTGTATGTACATGTGTGTATGTGTATGTACATGTGTGTATGTGTATAAACATGTGTGTAAGTGTATAAACATGTGTGTATGTGTATGTACATGTGTGTATGTGTGTATGGACATAAATTAATGATTATTACCCCCCTCTCCCACTCTCCCTGACTCAGGTTGCCAGATATGCAGACGAATCCAGCTGGGACCATAACAGCTGAATAGACAAGAGTTTTGTCAACAACAAATCTATAACCAACACCTTTTTCACAGAAGAACACAAAAATAAAATTGTGACAAATCATGAAATGAAAGAGTGGTGTAAAGAACCAGAACCCTGAGGCCCGTCTTCAGCCTCACCTCCTCTACTTTGGAACATTTAATAATCAAAACAAAGACATCGGGGTAATAATGGTCTTTCTCTCTGTCTCTCTATCTCTGTCTCTCTCTCTCTTTCTCTCTGTCTCTCTCTCTCTTTCTCTCTGTCTTGGTCTCTCTCTTTCTCTCTTTTTCTCTCTGTCTTTGTCTCTCTCTTTATCTCTGTCTCTTTCACTGTGTCTCCCTCTTTCTCTCTGTCTCTCTCTTTCTCACTGTCTCTCTCTCTCTTTCTCTGTGTCTCCCTCTTTCTCTCTATCTCTCTCTGTCTATCTCTCTCTGTGTCTCTCTCTCTCTGTCTATCTCTCTCTCTCTTTCTCTCTGTCTCTCTCAATCTCTGTCTCTCCCTTTCTCTCCGTCTATCTCTCTCTCTCTATCTCTGTCTATCTCTCTCTCTCTCAATCTGTCTCTTTCTCTGTCTCTCTGTCTCCCTCTATCTCTCTCTTTCTCTGTCTCTCTCTCTCTCTGTTTATCATCTTTCTTTTAAATGTACTGTGATTATTTATTATTGATGCGATCTTGTTTTGTTCAGTTCTTTGAGTTGCCTTGATTGTGAACTGTGCCATACAAATAATCTATCACCAAAGCACTAAAACGGGAGTCTGATGATGCAGCCATTATTAACACTAGACAAGGCTAATTTATCTGTATAGCACAGTTCATACACACAGCAACTCAAAGTGATGAACAAAAACAGATAGAAACAGTCACAAAAGGCATTCAAATTTAAATCGTAAATAATCACAGTACATTAAAAAGAGTAAAGTTAAAATCCCTCAGTTGTAGCACAGTTTAAAGCAGCAATCATGAAAGGGCCCTAATCTGTCTTCATTAAATGGCCCTAATCTGTCTAAAGGGCCCTAATCTGTCTTCATTAAATGGCCCTAATCTGTCATCATTAAAGGGCCCTAATCTGTCATCATTAAATGGCCCTAATCTGTCATCATTAAAGGGCACTAATCTGTCATCATTAAAGGGCACTAATCTGTCTTCATTAAATGGCCCTAAACCTGTCATCATTAAAGGGCACTAATCTGTCTTCATTAAAGGGCCCTAATCTGTCTTCATTAAAGGGCACTAATCTGTCATCATTAAAGGGCACTAAACCTGTCATCATTAAAGGGCCCTAATCTGTCATCATTAAAGGGCCCTAATCTTTCATCATGAAAGGGCCCTAATCTGTCATCATTAAAGGGCCCTAATCTGTCATCATTAAAGGGCACTAATCTGTCATCATTAAAGGGCACTAAACCTGTCATCATTAAAGGGCCCTAATCTGTCATCATTAAAGGGCCCTAATCTTTCATCATGAAAGGGCCCTAATCTGTCATCATTAAAGGGCCCTAATCTGTCATCATTAAAGGGCACTAATCTGTCTTCATTAAAGGGCCCTAATCTGTCATCATTAAAGGGCCCTAATCTGTCTTCATTAAAGGGCCCTAATCTGTCATCATTAAAGGGCCCTAATCTGTCTTCATTAAAGGGCCCTATATGGAAAGAAGCATTATAAAACATGCTCCTTTCCATCCATCCATTTTCTTCCCCTTAATCCATTTCTGGGTCGTGGGGTGGCAGTCAGTGCTGTACCCAGTCACAGAGCACCAGCCCCTCACTGATCCTCCTGCAGGTGCTGAGTCCACAGGAGCTGAGATCTTCCAGCGGGGGCTTCGGGCAAAGTGGGGTTAAGTGTCTTGCTCAAGGACACAACGACAGCAGTCATCAGTGGGAGTCATGAAGTAGGTCTCATGGTGGGTTCGAACCTACAACCTTCAGGCCCAAAGACCAATGCTCTACCAACTGAGCCACTGTCGCCCTGAAAATCGACTAACAATCAAACTCAACAGCAGCAGATTTAACCATCGAGGCTTCTCTTCTGATCAGACAGAGCCACAGCGGACGTGGCTTTTCACACCTCTCCCTTGTTATCTAATAAAATGTTCTTGTGTCAATACAATGTCTGTAGAAGATCGGCACCAAAAATTAGTCTATTTTATCAAAGTCAACAATAATTTATGGCAGAAATAAAACACAAAACTGTGAAATAGCTTTTAATCTTATCATTTTCAGGGAGCGAGGAACACAATGAAGCTCCTCTTATGTTGTGGGAACTGACCCTATAACAACTACTTTGGTCGCCTTGAGTGTTAAAGGGCTCTATAAATATAACTGATTGAACAATTTTGTGTAATTGTATTGTATCATAATGATCCTAGTGTCTAAGTCTTCAGTATTATGTCTATTTCATAACAACCATATTTTAAATTATGTTTTACAAAGTGCTGCGTCCTACAAGGTGTTTGTCTGAATCTTGGATCAGTCAAAGTGTGTTTTTCTCGTCACTGTTTTTGCGGTTCTTTTGAGAGACAGAGATATATAACCTTCTTAACATGCTTGGCTTCGGAGACGTCGTTCACACGGTCACACTTTTAACTTGTTTTTGAAATCATTTGAACTCAACAACACAAAGTGAACCTTTTAGAACGATTACCCAAAAACAATCAAGTTTATCCAATAACGACAACTACATGAGTGATCCCGTCGTTCACATCAGCCGCTGTGCACAGATGAATTCACTTTTTTGGTTTCATAAATACATTGTGTTTGTCCCAAAAGAAAGAGCTCTAACGTAATAAATGACAACATACTGTAAAACCTTTGATCTTTTACAGATTTAGAACGGGGTAAAGTTGGTCCTCCGTCTAAATAAATTCAAACTAGTGCCAGAACCAAACACCAGTGAACATGAAATAAATACTGGTAATGAAAAATAGAGCCTTAACACCAAAAACAGTTGATCATGTGCTAAATGATTCATACCGTGATAATCCTGATCTAAAACATTTCTTAGGATCTCCTCCGGTGCCATCAGTTCAGTTTTAGAGATATAATAGAACCCATATCCGTGTTCAAAACAACTAATAAAAAGAATAAAACCATTTTCAAAACAGCCGTTAGTTCCAGCCCTCCTCCACATTCAGCTCTGGAGTGGCCACTGTTCCATGAGAGCCCGTCCCAAAATACTCCAGGCACCAGGAAAAACAGTCCAAGCTTTCCAAACAAACCCACAGAGAGGCCCTGACGGAGCCGCGGTCACAGGGCCTGGACAACCATGCGGTTAATTCATCACAGACGCTCTCACCGAGTTCAACAAAACAGGCGGGATAAGAAGGTATGACATGTACCATCGAGCTGTTGTAACGCTGGTTCCACTGTTTCTTACTCTGATGAAGTCTCCTCTTGGACTATTTTATCATGAATTAGAAAAAGAAGGGGCTCACACACGCTTTGTTCTTTACTTCTGCCTCCTTGAACCGTACGGAGAATAGATCTACACAAAAGGCAGAAAGGCTAATCCATCCATGGCATTGACACGCTCTAAGGCATGTCCAAACTCAGGCCCAGGAGCCAATTGCGGCCCTCAGTGTCATTTTATGCGGCCCTTTGCCTTGCTAACCCAAAGAAGTCTTTCCACTGTCATCCATCCAACTTCAGCTCAGCCGATATAGACATGTCATACCTCGTTCTACAGCCCAGTACATTTGGAATTCAGTCGTTGACTTGTGAGCTGGTGAGATGGTTAACATGTGTCATTCAGCCAACTTCAGCTCTGTTATAGATCATTTAAAAAGCTCAGAACAGCCTGATGCCGATCTTTGTTTTTCAGTCCGTGACGTCGGCCCCTGGACTATAGTCTGGAGAATTAAAGTGGCTCTAATCTAAGTGTAGTGTGAAGAGTAGATGGTTGCTTTTTGCACAAACTTAGTGTAGAATGTGAATACACACCCCCATCCTCGCAAAATGGATTGAATTCAGTGAAACTTTAAGATCAGGCCAGGGTTATTCCTTAATATTGATCATTTCCCAATCATTTGAAGTGCCTCATCAATTATAAGTGAAACCATAGAGCCATTGAAGTCCATAGGTCTGCAGGATGCAAAACATAAACAACCGATTCATACACCCCCCTGACAGTAGAACACAAAACTAATACTACCTGCTTAATTAGCCTTGCTGCTTACTATAAAACATTAAACAGTCCTTTTGTTCGTTAAAATCAAGAAGAGCTGAGTTGAGCCGAGTTCTCATACATCCCAGTGAGTGAGAGGCAGAGATATGACTGCCCTGTGGCCCCTCTGGACATTCTTCCTCATGAATGGACAAACTGAAGGGCTGTGTGTGCGATGGCGGCCTCCACATTGACGTGAATTGGAGCCAGGACTATGGTCGCTCAGGCCCCGGTTACGAGTCTGCAGATCCAGGGGACTTGAGGGGACCCGATAACAAACTCCACTCCAGCCGCTGCTTCAACACAGCCCAGCCTTCTCCAGTTGGGATTTGTTTGCTTTATTCACCTCCAGCTTTCAGCCCCAAGCCCCAGAATGTGAGGATCTCTTTCACTCACTCTTTTAATCCAAGCACACACGCCGGTCACATGATCATGGTTTAGGATCAGCTCCTTCACGAGCTGCTTTACAGACAACTCTACTCAAGACTGCAGACTCTGGAGAGCTCTGGAGTTTTATATTATATTCATCATTAATCATCAATCATCAGACAGAGTGTATTTATGATATGTCGACCTGCAGCCCAACCAAAAACACAAAAACTCCCACAGACACTACAACATAAACCATGGGTTAGCCTGGGTGGTACTGTGAAAATGTTTTGCGTAAGGCTGGGCAATATGGCTGGAAGTAATTCATATCGGTCGATAATGATAATTATTAATTGTTTTTTTTATTTTTTAAACCTAAATAAATAAATTTGTCGTGTCGGCTAGCACACGTTAGCAGCACCTTGTTTACAGTCACGGGGAATGAGAACTCAGGCTGGAGGCATATGTTCACAAGCAAAGTGTCCCCCATTGTCAGTCCTGGTTTAGTCCTGGTTTAGCTCCTGTTTTGGCTGTTTTCGAGTGTCTTGTGTTCCCGTGACGGCTCTGATAGCCGCATCCCGACGAAAAAAGTTAATCTCTTGCTTTTGCCGCATGAGTCTCTGTGTCCACTGCCTCTGCCGCGCCGCACATGGAGCTTCGCGAAAGTTCACTGTGGTAGACCCGGCTGCTGCTGCCCAGGCCACAGGCTGCTCTTCCTCGACTCATCAATACCAGCAACGCCCACATCCAGTCAACCAATAACCACCAGGACAGCAAGTTAAAAGCCGGAGATGCCCACTTTCCGGCCTTCTGAAGTCTGCAAGGTGCATGTCGCTAACGCACCTGTTCGCAAATGCATGCGTTGTTCTGGAGGGGTCGCTTCTGCTCACGTGTTGCTCGTGCGCGTGGCCCGGCTGTTCTCAGTCTGGCTGCTTGTGGTCTGCTCCTCCTTTGCGTCCCTGCCTGCTGTGGTTCGCGCGTCTCCACTGCTCTCCTCTTCTGCGGGCTCTTTCTGCGGGCTCTCCGTGGGGCCCTCCGCGGGTTCTGTGCTGCTCGTTCCTCGTGGTCTGCTACCGCGCGCAGACGGTCTGGCGGGCCGCGTTGTCCCGTTGCTTTTCCCAAGTCTCCTGGCATGTGAGTACAGTGAGTGTGCCGACCGCGGACGGATTAATCCCGGAGTCTGGACTGCGGGCTTGGTTTTTGCCCCGTACACTGGACTGCAGGCTTCGTTTTCACTTGTGTTTGAGCTAACTGAGGGGCAACGCATGTTAAATGGTATCAATATCCATCGTCTGAGGGATATAAGAGGAGCACGTGCATTAATTCAGATTCATGTTCTGCCACTTGCAGTAAAACCACGTTGGAAGCTTCATACTGCTTGCTGCTGCTGCTTCATTTACTTGACATCTCTCTTCCCTTTACATCTCTCTTTCTGAAACACTAAACAGCTACAACAATTTCTACTGCTGTGGCCTTGATACAGGATTATTGCTGTTATTATCTAAGGATGCTGCAACTGCTGCTGTTGCTACTGCTACTGCTGCAACCACTGCTGCAACACTGCTGCTGCTACTGCTTCATTTACTTTGACGTCTCTTCACTTTACATCTCTCTTTACTGCTGAGCTGTCAATCAAACTCCTACTCAAAGGCATCCGTACCCGTATTTTTCACTCTTCTGATTGCAGGCTCCCCATCCTGCCGCCCATCCTGCAGCAGCTCTGAGCGGCACTGAACTCCGGCTCATCGTCCAAGTACATGTCTGCCCTCCTCGCAGCATCTTCCTGCTCGCCTTCTATGGCTTCTCTGCATAAGCGTTTCACTACTGCTCACTCAACCTTCAATGCGGTCCGAGACACGCTTTCCCGACCTATCCTACTGTCCTGATTATCTAATCTCCATCCCCAGATTCTAAGCGTAAGGGCGCCTGCAACATCATTGGCCCTCCTCGGTATGTCTCTCTGCCCCTACAGGTCTCCGCTTCTACACGGCCGCTGCCCCTTCCGTGGGTTTTGGGGGGTTCTCCCAGGACCAGTGGTTGGCGGGGCCGTGGCCCGCTACTTTTCCCCGGAGCATTTCCTCTGCCCTACACGAGACATTCCCAGTGGTCGCGGCCTCGCTGGGGCTCCCCCACCCTTCTCTACAACAGCTGGGGCGCTGGTCCTCTTCGGCTTTCTCCACCTACATCAGGCCAGATGCGACCGCTATCATGGCCGCTCAACGTTTACCGGCTTTCTCGTAAGCTCCCAGCAAAGCAAGTAAGCAATATATTCTGGTGGCGGCACGCACTTCCTCAAACGCGCATGTCTCAGCTCGCTCAAAGATTCCTCTGCTGCAGCGCTTCAGCGTGCGCGCATGTTCCCAGTTCGCTCAAAGATTCTTGGCGTCAGCGTCTGGCGAATATGAGCGTGCATCTCATATTCCCAGCTCGCTCAAAGACTCCCCTACGCTGCGACTGGCTGAACATGCGCGTGCGCGCATGTTCCCAGTTCGCTCAAAGATTTTGGCTTCAGCGTCTGGCGAATATGAGCGTGCATCTCATATTCCCAGCTCGCTCAAAGACTCCCCTGCGCTGCGACTGGCTGAACATGCGCGTGCGCGCATGTTCCCAGTTCGCTCAAAGATTCCTCTGCTTCAGCATCTAGCTGAATATGAGCACGCTCATATCCTCAGCTCGCTCTGCCTAAACAAACACGGGCCCCAGCGGACGCAGCCGGCCGAAGCGACCGTGCGAGAAGCCTCACTCATGCTCTCAGGCCCGCGCAGTACATCCTGCTACCCCAATTGCAGGCCCGCTTTTTGGGGATTATGCACGCGAGCAAGCGCCGTGCTCAACAGCATCCCTCCCGGGCCTAGGGCGCCAAACATGCTCAATCATAAACATGCTTAAATCTAATAAGTCTAACGGCATCTTCCTCATGGGTCTCTCCAAAGTGAAATGGAGCTTCGCGAAAGTTCACTGTGGTAGACCCGGCTGCTGCTGCCCAGGCCACAGGCTGCTCTTCCTCGACTCATCAATACCAGCAACGCCCACATCCAGTCAACCAATAACCACCAGGACAGCAAGTTAAAAGCCGGAGATGCCCACTTTCCGGCCTTCTGAAGTCTGCAAGCCTCCGCCGCCCCACCTCCTCCTTCTCTCATCGAAGCGCGCTTGCCTACTGCCTCTGCCGTCACCAGTACCTAGGCCCCGGGGGGATTATGCACGCGAGCAAGCGCCGTGCTCAACAGCATCCCTCCCGGGCCTAGGGCGCCAAACATGCTCAATCATAAACATGCTTAAATCTAATAAGTCTAACGGCATCTTCCTCATGGGTCTCTCCAAAGTGAAATGCTAATCCTCACATGGACGTGCAGAACCATTGACCCTGCACATGGTCTGACTGTTGCCGTTGTTTCTTGCATTTCCCAGAATGTCTTGCGGTTCATACTCGGCTGTGATAGGTCGAAAAGCCTCTGCCTACATCCCCCAGAATGCCGCCCGCTTCTGACTCGGCTTTACTTCCTTTGTTGTCTTCCTGTTTTACTTTCAAACAGAGTGAAGTTAAACTATCGAACATACTATCGACCTCGTTTTCTATTGATATCGAACACGTGTCTATCGCCCTAGTTTTGGGTACAAGTACTTTATCAATACCTGCTTTTTGGTGCCAGTTTTTTTCCTTTTAGTTCCTAATCTGATGTCATGTATTCAAGAAATAGCCACATTTAATGAAGTAATTGTGTATAATGTGGATGTCATTTAGAGGCTCTGACACTGCAGCTACATTAGAAGGTAAAATACAAGGTTTTTTCTTTATTCTTCAATGGGATGTTTGCCATTGCAGGTATAAAGTCCATAAAACACATGAATTGTAGACATTGCTTATCACATGAGAGTCCATGAAAGTCCACACAAAAACACAAACTACAGATGCCGTGGCCCCTGGGATAATTCATGCAGTATTTAACAGACATCCATTTTCTTCAGATGGGGGCAACAGTCCAAGCAGAGACACCCAGATTTACCAATGCATGGATTTTACAGACGTTACTTTGTGAAACTAATCTGGGGTCAAACTAATTCAACTAATTTATTTGATCCTTGTCTTAAAAATGTCTTATATAAAGTACAGGTCAGTTTTCAAATCCATTCCATAAACTCCCCAAACATTATCTTTCAAATGCACTGAGCAATAATAGCCTTTTCTAAGCACCGCTAAAAGGAATAATTCTGCCCTCTGATATTTGGAGCATACAGGAGTTTGTTGTGGGTTAAACTGTAGCTACTATGTTTTTGGATAATCAATTTGTTCTTTCAATTATGGATTAGTTGCATAAATATGTCAAATACACAAAGATGTTGGCTCTTCTGATCATGCGATGCATCGTGAGTTAGCTTTACCCTTTACCCATCCTGATGTGTTGTTGCTATAGTAACTGAGTGGCATAGCTTTTAAACTGGGAGACATGGAAGCACCACTCTGCCGACCCTAACTAATTTCACTGGTAACAAGGAATATTAATAAACAAACAACAAACGTATGAAGGAGACATTAGTGTCTATGCTTCCTGTCGTAGCTGTGACTGAGCAGAGGATCCTGGGAACCAAGTTTCCAAATATGGTCTGAGGATTAGCTGCTAGTCCATCTCCAGCAGCTGCAGCTGCTACAGATGGACTACTTTTATGAATACATGTTCTTCACTTCTGGTCACAAGGATTCTGAACTATACCATAGATTGCCTGAACGCATCACTCGCCCTTTGGAGACAGCGAAAGGATCCTGCATAATGCAGGGGGCTGAACATTTTAAGATTTCTTTAAGGAGATATCCACAAAGATCTTATTTACTTATGTATCAGGACAGAGGCTACATGCGCCTTTTCTTCTTGTGTTAAAATGGAAGGAATTTCAGAAACTCAATAAACCATTTACCTGTTGTGCGAGTTAAAGTTTCCCTCCCACTTGAAAACAACAACACAATTAAAGAGTTACATTTACAAATATACGTTTGCTTGGACTCACGAGGCGTAACGTCTGCCAAATATCATCTATATTCCGTCTCCAATGGGCATGGTACTGATAAACGTCAG